AAATTCAAAATGGGTGGGGTTGGGGACATGTACGTCAGAAAAACGGAAGCGTTTATAGTTCAAATTTTTACGAAATCTGTCGAAAACGCGAAAATTTGCAAGTAATTTTGAAGTTGAAAAATCATAAAATTGTTTGTGTTTATAACTAAAGAGAAAACTTAAAACATCATTATAGGAAAAATTTTAAGTGCGTTTGAATTTTAAATGTTTACGAAATAGCGTAACGATAACGATTTATCCTCTAACGATTTTAAACATTTGTTATTATTCAAAAAGTATAAGTCATAGATACTTGAAAAATTTTACCAGTTATTTAGATTGGCATTTTCTTTACATGATTTAATTTTAAAAATGTTTTGACTTTTTTTGAGATATTAATAGACAACTGAAATTTTCAATGTTTCTGAAAAATTTTTTTTGAAGTGTCGATAACATTTTTTTGGCCATATCAAAATACTTGAAAATTAAATACAATGTTTCTCATAAGTTATTCTTATAGTGCTTAAAAAATTATAAGAATATATAGGCACAATATTTTTTTATTAGCATTTGAAGTTCAAATATTGACAAAAATTCGTCAAAACCATGAATTTTTTTGTGTCTGTCATCACGTTTTGGGGCAGTAAAAGTGCTTCGATTTTTGACTTCAGTACCTTATTCGATCAGAAAGTGAATGTAGTTGGTATTTTCAAAAGTAAAAAATTTTCAATATTTTTCTAAATAATCGGGATAAACAAACTAAACAGTTAAACTTTTTTGACTTAAGTTAAACTATTCATAGGTATATGCAATTTTCGATCATTATTAGTTTTTTTTAAATTAATAACGATAAAAATTTATTTTTTAAGTAGAAAATCTTGAAAATTTAATACAAGGCTCTTAACATATTGTTACAATAGCAGTTGAAAAATAAAACAAATTCATAGTCACAATTTTTTTTTTTATAAGCATTAAAATTTTGAATTTTGACAAAATACGTAAAAATCACAAAAATTCGCAAATTGTTTTAAGCTAGAAATTCATTAAATCTAAGATTTGAAAATGTAATACAAGATTCCTTACAAATTTGTCAATCTTTTTTCACCAAAAAAATGTTCACCGGAAATTCAAATCCAATTTTTATTAGCATTTGAATTTCAAATATTGAAAAAAATTCGTCAAAAACATGAATATTTTCAAATTATTTTGTAGTTCAAAATTCATAATATTGTTTATATTTATATCTAAGGTTATAAAATTCAACACTAAGTTTTCCATAAGTTTTGCTTCAAATAGCTATAGAGAAAATTTGAAGC